ACGGAAGGGTGTTGTCAGTTTCGGCCCGCGGAGCGAACGGCTCTAAATTCTCCCTGGCCAACTCACCGGAAAGGGGCCGCCGGGCACAGCCACTGGGAATGTGTCGGAATAAATAATCATTTAAAAAAAAAAAAAGGCCAAGAAAGCTCCTGAAGAAAAAGCAGGCAATTCAATAGCGTTTTATAGATGCATTCGATTGGAAAAACACAAGGCGAGCAGGAAGCAAGATGCCCGAATAATAATAATAATAATAATAATAATAGTAATAATAATAATTCTTCCATTGCAAAAGGCAGTCTTACTTGGAACAGCTGATATCCTGCAAAGATCCCTTTAGCTCCATCAAACAGCCTCTGCCTAACCCAGGCCCTTGGGAAGGACTCGACAGGTGGACAAAAATGCCAGAGCCAGTCTAAACATCTGGCTGATGGTGCGATCAACCGTAATATCCCTATTACCTCCTTCTCCATGAAGGGCAACAAGGCCGTTCCTTGCCACACCCCATCTGATAATAAGGACGGGTGCTCTGCTAATCATAATGAAAAGGAATCACGAAAAAGTACGCAGCAGGCCCGCTTTAGATCCACCCACACGTGCATTCTGGCTCTAAGCCGCGGGCATAATCCTGCCTGGGACTCAGGACCCTTCCCAAACACCTACTGCAAGGGGCACCGTGCAACTAAAAATAACCAGCTGGGGAGGGGAATCCTTTTTTGCTTCCTCTGGCAAAAAGTGGGGCGAGAATGTGCTAAAGAGCAGACGGCAGCATCCAAGTGGGAAGGAAAACCAGCCCCCCCTTCCCTCGCTGCCCCCAACTGACAGATGGACGCCAGGCAGTGCGGTTCTAAGCCTCTCGGCAGAGGAAAAGCCCAAAATAGCAGAGGTGGGAGCTTTCTGCGAGGGAGGAGAGGGGACTCCCATCTTCATCTGGAAGAAGGGAAGACGAGCGACTGAACGGAAGCGGCTTCCGAGAGCCGCCCACGCAACCGTCGATTGTGCAAGGGCGTCTGGGGCGCTCCCAACAGCAGGGGGATGCTGAGCGCATGGCGGGCTCGGAAATGAATGTTTGCAACGGACGTGGCAGGGGAAGCTCAAGGTGTAATTATTCCTGGGGGAGGCCAGACCGCAGCCCCCTCCCCCTTGCAGCAATTTGATTGCAAGGACGTAATAATTGGGTTTCCCACGCCCTGGTACAATTCACACAAATTCTAGGTTAGGAGAAGAACAATTACGGGTCAGCCTTTGTTAAGAGTGTTTCTGCTATGCTTTGTTCTAGGAAGAAGGTCCAGATTGCTTCAGTAACTACCCAGTTATCTCCTCTTCGGATTGGAGGCCATCGAGAATCATCCTGGCCACGTCCAACTATGCCAGAATGCAACCATGCCGGTTAAGCTAGGGAACAGAAGGATTCATTCCAACTCAGGGTTTCAGAAGGTCAACGTCTCTGCCTCTGGGAGCTCTCCAAGGTACTGAACTCATTTCTTTCACGTACAGTACTTACCTACCACTGCCTCACCTGCACAGAACATTAAGGCCCCTCTCACTTCCTCTGAAATACCGCAAAATGTAGGAAAGAATGGGAAACGCAAAAAGATATCAAAATTCAGAAAGCCACTGCTGTTGAGTAGAGGAGCTACACACTCAAATATTTCCAGTAGGCCTGCAAACTGCACCTTAGCTCAGGGGTCTTGAACAACCTCAAGGGAGGGGCAATACAAAAAAACCTGTGCAGGCAAAGTGTCAAATCTTACTCCCGTCTGCAAAATTTAAGAATCCCTGCCTTAAGGGAAGGTTATTCCACAAAGGGGGCACCCTGGCTCGTCCTTGTAATGCTTGGCTCAGCCTACCGCCACCGGTGAGGGAGCAGGGATTCTACACACGCTCAGAGGCACACCGGTAATACACTGCCCTTTCTAGTCTCACATTTCCCATTAGCCAAGTTTTGCCCTGATCTTTCCATTGCATTTCTTCAACGACTCCTGCTGGGAAAAAATTTTCCCACCTCATTTTTGAAGGGAGCAGGCCCTCCTCCTCCTCCTCCTCTCCTTTCTCTCTTCCGCAGCCCTCCAGCTCACCTAAAAATAGCCCAAGTTGTTAAAAAGAACATGACGGAAAGCCCAAGATTAATCTGTTGCTAATACAGGTAGCTTCTGAAAACAGCTGTAAGAGTTCGGCCGGACATTTCAAAGGACTGTGAAACCAACTTCACGCCCACTTGATCCAGAGATTGTGACATATCGTCAGAGCACAACGCAGCATTTGCGTGCCTGGCGCGGCGGGGGCCCAGAGTCTCCGCATGCTTGCAAGCTAGAATTTGAGCCAAGGGGGACTGGGGGATTGGCAGCAAAGCCATATGCCCTTTCCCCAATATTCTCCATCATGCGAATATTGCCCCTGATTTTGAACAGCGCTGAAACTCACACCCCAAGGTGATTTAATTGTGACTCCTATTGCACTGCTTATAGGTTGGGTTGTTCACGATAAAATTCCTGCTTGAGTTTGGTTCTCTCTTTCTTCTCCAGATTTTCAGTGTGAAGCCCCCGACGACCCTAAAGATCACTGAGAATTTAGAAAGACCATGAAGCTAGTATAAAATGCAGCTTAACCCCCCCTCTCCTTTTTTCCCCTTCCTCCAGGCAGCTTAAGATGGAATTGTTTCGTTAGACTCGTTTGCCATGCAAAGTATCTCAGAGCTTATACAAGCAGTTTTGGAGCTTGGAAGGAACTCCCTGGAACTGTAGATCCCTTATAAACAAAAACTTGCTTTTTCTTCCTCTTTTTTATTCATTTTGATCCACAACAGGAACGTACGCCATTTTTCAGGCCAAGATCCTTAAGTGGCCTTGCAAGGTCTGGACAAAAACTAAGATGAATTTAATTTAAGTTCAATGTAACTTACTTCCCGTGCGAACGTTTTCCTTCTCTCACAGCAAACCACTATGTTGCAGGGTAACTGGGTTGGACTGAGGAGGCTCTGGTTGAAGTCTCCCCTCAGCCACGTAGCTGAGGGGAGTGACTTTGGGAACTCGCCATCTCTAAGCCCCACCACGGGGTTGTGGTGAAAACAAGAGAGATTCTCCCTGTTTGCTGCCGTGAACTTCCAGGGAAAAGGGAATAGAAATGAAGCCAGAAGAAGCCACTAATTTGCACAAAAATAAACAGGAGAAATTCTAAACAAAGGTGAATTGGTGACTAAATATTGGAATATTGGCAAATCAACATCCCTTCTGAATACAACTGGCTACAGCCCTGGAAATTCTCTGTTTTACTAGGTGGCTTTCAGTCCCTTCAAGATGACCGTCGACTCAGTCAAACCATTTAGGGGTATTGAGGGAGGGGATGGACTAGGTGACCTTCAAGGCCTCAAATTCTGAACGGCACATCTGCCTGAACCCCCTGCATGGCTGAAGTTCATAAAGGGCAACTCTGTTAGGAGAAGTGGGGAATCTGCCAGCAGAAACACCCCAGAAATGTGACATTATAGCGCACCAGTTGTGATAGCGAGGGCTGGGGAGAAGCTTTCAAGACATCACGAATTGTCCCCAGTTGTCCAAACCCCTGGTTCAAACCAAGGTGGATCGCACTCAGCTTAGCATCTTTGCCCTGAGCAAAAATGATTGCTCCGGTTGCATTTGATACTTGAAATGCCCCATGATTATCCGCCTGGTAGAGGCAGGTTGGCCTGAAAAGCTAGGTCAGAGCCAGGACACCTGGGAATACTCCACGAGCAACCTCTTCAGAGTAACTTCCCTGCATTTCTTAGAGACTAAGAATAAGAATCTGCCCTAGGAAAAGGCAATCGGACGAGTGAGCAGCGACTCATTCAGGTGCACAGCAGAAATCCTCCCTGGGCCTGAACTCATGCAGAGATGCAACAGGAATCGCCTTGGGGTTGTACGAGCTCTCGTTTACATCAGCGCTGGATGGCGTGGCAATATCTGGGGCTTCCATGGTCCGATTTTTGCCAGGTTTCTCTCCCACGTTCAAAGAATTCAGGCTTGAGGGGCCTTAAACCCAAGCGGTGGGCAAGGGGTGAGGTGGGGAAGATGCTGGTGCATTAAATAGCCGGGAGGCCGTCTGTCTCCCTTTCAGCTGCAATCAAGATGCTTTAAAAGTCCAGCTCAGAAGGACCCAGGGTGTTAGCCACAGCTATCTGAGCGCCACTCCACTTCCTGCCAGCAGATGCAGTTATAAAAATCCAGGCCAAACCCCAATCCCATCAAATGTCATTATTTATTTAGATGCACTTTCCTCCCCCCCCATTCATCTTCATCCCATCCCTCTCTGCTTTCCAGCTTAAGAGTATCAGGTGCAAAGAGGGCTCAAGCCCCCCCCCATTCAAGCTGATCTAAGAAGTGTCAAATTTCTTTGTGTCCCCATTCCCCCCACCCCCTTTTCCCATTTTTAGAGGGCAGGAAGGAGGCGCGGGGTGAGAGGAGGACCATTAAAAAAAAAATAAGGGGGAGGTCAACAGAAAGCACCACCTCCCTGCTTTACGACCCCCACCCCACCCCTCTTAAGGGATTTGGAGGCGGCCTACATTATTTGCAAACACACTGCGAAGGGGGGGGGAGAGAAACGCTTTTTGCACGAGCTTTAAGGAAGGACAGGAAACGGGAGTGAAAACGTCTCCTTCGATCCGCACGATTGCTGTCGTTGCTATTATGATGATATTAACAATGGGATCTGTTCTTGCTAGCAGCAGTGCGGACGTCTTCCTTCTGGGGGAAAGCGGGGGGGGGGCGGCGTTCCCCGCCCTTGCTCTCCCTCCCT